GCAGACTGAAGGGTCCTGGGTTCGATTTCGGTCCAGGTCACATGCCCCGGGGTTGTGGGCTCCATCCCCAGTAGGTTCCAGAAGGTTCCAGAAATACATGCTGGCTGAGTGAGGAGCATGCCAGGCGGTGTTGAATGAGGAGGGCGATGGGGAAACAGTTACCTGGTGTAGCAGGAGGTGGGGCAGGTGAGAGGCCGGGATCCAGGCTGGCCCGGGGTCAGCCCAAAGGCTGTCCACACCCGGGGTGGGGGGCTGCTAGGAGGAGGCCGAGCCCAGTTCCCGCCTGTCCCCACCCCCACCCCCCCACCCCGGCTTCAGGACCTGAGCAGGTGCTGTGGATCAGAAGGAAAGGCCCAGGAGCTGCAGTCCTCAGCCTCAGGCTGGGCACGGCCCCCTCTGCCGCCCACCCGGCGCCCGTGTGTGCTGGAGGCTGGCAGCTCGGGGTCTCCCTGGGCAGCACCCGCATGAATTCCCTCTTCCACTCGCTCACAGTGCTCGTCGAGGCCGGCCCAGCCTGCACACCTGCTCCACGGACGCACTCAGCATGGTCGGGCCTGCTGGCTCAGCTCTGAGCATCGACCTGTGAGCCAGGAGGTCAGGGTTTGATTCCCGATCAGGGCACATGCCCGGGTTGTGAGCTCGATTCCCAGTGTGGGGTGTGCACGAGGCAGCAGATCAGTGATTCTCTCTCATCATTGATGTTTTTCTCTCTTGCCCCTTTCCCTTCTTCTCTGAAGTCAATAAAAAAAAATTTTTTTTTTAAAGAATTGGAATAATAGCACTTGGTTTGGAGGGGCCTACCATAAAGTCAGGCTGAGTGAGAAAAATGAGATGCAGGAGGCAACTGATCGATGTTTCTCTCTCATTGATATTTCTGTCTATCGCTCTCCCTTCCTCTCTGTAAAAAAAATCAACAAAAATATATTTTAAAATAAAAAAATGTTTACTTATATAAAAAAAAGACAGAAGGCTGCTCACCACCAGCAGTTAGAGCGCGCCCCCACGCGTCTAATTACAGGCGTGTGACTGCCTTCCCTTGTGTCTAATTACAGGCGTGTGACTGCGTGAAGAAAGCGGTTTTCGAGAGGCAGGTTTAGGCGATGAAACCAGCCAAGAACACCGAGGCAGCAATGAGCACCTGACCCAACGCCCGCGAGCCTCCTCTGAGCCCCTTTTCTTTTTTATAGATTTTATTGATCTTTCACAGAGAGAAAGAGAGAGGGATAGAGAGTTAGAAACATCGGTGAGAGAGAATCATCGACCAGCTGCCTCTTGCACACCCCCCACTGGGGATGTGCCCGCAACCAAGGTACATGCCCTTGACCGGAATCGAACCCGGGACCCCTCAGTCTATCCACTGAGCCAAACCGGTTTTGGCAAAGCACTTTTGATGTTTGTCTTGAAATTATCGTGTTTTCTTTGGTAATAAAACCTCCATTATTAACCCGTTAATAGTCAACCCGCCGTTACCGGTTAACAATGAGGGCTGACAACCCGTAACCAGGTAAATGTTCCTGAGAAGATGGTCCTTGCAGCAGGAGTCCACCATGGTGGCTTTGCTGACCTCCGTGATCCCCAGAGCCTGCCTGAAGAAGTCAGGAGGACTGCAAGGGGGGGGGGACAACAGAGGGGGGGACGGCAGGAGGTGGGGGGGCAGCAGAGGGGGGGATGGCAGGAGGGAGGGCAGTAGAGGGGGGACGGCAGGAGGTTGGGGGCAGCAGAGGGGGGACGGCAGGAGGGGGGGGCAGCAGAGGGGGGGACGGCAGGAGGTGGGGGGGCAGTAGAGGGGGGACGACAGGAGGTGGGGGGCAGCAGAGGGGGGAACGGCAGGAGGTGGGGGGCAGCAGAGGGGGGGACGGCAGGAGGTGGGGGGGCAGCAGAGGGGGGACGGCAGGAGGGGGGGCAGCAGAGGGGGGGACGGCAGGAGGTTGGGGGGCAGCAGAGGGGGGACGGCAGGAGGTGGGGGGACAACAGACGGGGGGACCTGGTGGAGGCAACTGCTGGCAACACCAAGGCTTTGCCCCACGGGAGAGCCATGGGGCTGCGCTCCAGGAGGAGGTGGGGAAACAGAGGAAAAGCTCAGTTTCTGGCCCGGGCCTCCTGTTTTCTCCCTGAAAACCAGGGAGGCCATTGCTGATGGGGGCAGGGCACCGGAGCTTAGAGAGGCTGAGGGCCGAGGGCCTGGAGACGGAGGGGTCCGGAGACCTGGCCTCAGGGAAGAAGGAACCGAACGGCCCAGCAGGAGCGGGCCAGGGCCAGAGGTCGTCCAGAGCTGGAGGGCAGGAACTGGAACCTTCGCCTGAAGATGGCAGCTGGGCAGCCCTTGCTGCACTTTGTCCCCAGCAGCCCCGGGGGGGGGGGGGGGGGAGGCACAGACTCCTGAGGTCAGGTCTCTCCACACCCCTTTCCTCTGTTCCTTGAGGTCAGGTCTCTCCACACCCCTTTCCTCTGTTCCTTGAGGTCAGGTCTCTCCACACCCCTTTCCTCTGTTCCTCGAGCAGAGCTGGTTCCCTCTCCACCCACCGCCCCGCTGGAGCACGCCGTGGCCCCGCCCGGCCCCAGGGTTGGGCTGGACAGGCAGATGCTTGTAGGGAACGCGATGTTCTGCCAGGGCAGGGGTGTCCCTGGATGGCCCCCGGCCCCCGCGCTCCACACCCACAGCCCTGGCCGGCCGCCCAGGGGAGGGGCTGGCTGCACACCATTCCTCAGGAGTTTTCCTCCCAGAACAAAAGGCAGAGAAGTCACCAAGAACAGACCCCTCAGGCGGGGCGGAGGCGGCTGAAGCACACCCTGTCCCTGGCACCAGCAGGCCGTGGGCGGGCACTCGGGAACCCCATTGTGCTGGAAAGTCAGCCTGGTCATAGCCACACTCTCTTCTTTAATGTTTTTATTGATTTCAGAGAGGAAGTGGGGCGGGGAGAAACATCAATGATGAGAATCACTGACCAGCTGCCTCCTGCAGCCCCACAACCTAGGGATGGAGGCTGCACCCCGGGCATGAGCCCCTCCTGCTTCATAGGTCGATGCTCACCACCGAGCTGTGCTGGCCGGACAACACACACTCTTTTTTAAGTTATTTTTAGCCAAAGCCAGTCTGGCTCAGTGGACAGAGCATCGGCCTGCGGACTGAAAGGTCCCAGGTTCGATTCAGGTCAAGGGCATGTACCTTGGTTGCGGGCACATATGTGCAAGAGGCAGCTGGTCGATGTTTCTCTCTCATCGACTTTTCTAGCTCTCTATCTCTCTCTCTTCCTCTCTGCAAAATATCAATAAAATATATATTTTTAAAATTATTTTTAATATTTTTTTACACACACTCTTAGTATAAGGTGACCAGACGTCCTGATTTTTAACAATTGTTGCGGGCACATCCCCGGTGGGGGGGGTGCAGGAGGCAGCTAGTCGGTGTTTCTGACTCTCTCTCCTTTCCTCTGTTAAAAATCACTAAAAGATATTAAAAAAACAAAACAAAACAAAAAACCTTGGCAAATCAGGACCACTCTCCAACCAACTGACCTACCCCTGGGCTGTCCTGACAATTATTTATTATCTGACTGTGGGCACAGCGGGCTGTCAGTCACTGCGCTCTGGTGACCGGAAGTGACTGTGGGCACAGCGGGCCGTCAGTCACTGCGCTCTGGTGACCGGAAGTGACTGGGCACAGCGGGCCGTCAGTCACTGCGCTCTGGTGACTGGAAGTGACTGGGCACAGCGGGACGTCAGTCACTGCGCTCTGGTGACCGGAAGTGACTGGGCACAGCGGGCCGTCAGTCACCGCGCTCTGGTGACTGGAAGTGACCGGGCACAGCGGGCCGTCAGTCACCGCGCTCTGGTGACCGGGAAGTGACCGGGCACAGCGGGCCGTCAGTCACCGCGCTCTGGTGACCGGAAGTGACTGGGCACAGCGGGCCGTCAGTCACCGCGCTCTGGTGACTGGAAGTGACCGGGCACAGCGGGCCGTCAGTCACCGCGCTCTGGTGACCGGGAAGTGACCGGGCACAGCGGGCCGTCAGTCACCGCGCTCTGGTGACCGGGAAGTGACTGGGCACAGCGGGCCGTCAGTCACTGGGCTCTGGTGACCGGGAAGTGACCGGGCACAGCGGGCCGTCAGTCACTGCGCTCTGGTGACCGGAAGTGACTGGGCACAGCGGGACGTCAGTCACTGGGCTCTGGTGACCGGGAAGTGACCGGGCACAGCGGGCCGTCAGTCACTGCGCTCTGGTGACCGGAAGTGACTGGGCACAGCGGGCCGTCAGTCACTGGGCTCTGGTGACCGGGAAGTGACCGGGCACAGCGGGCCGTCAGTCACTGGGCTCTGGTGACCGGGAAGTGACCGGGCACAGCGGGCCGTCAGTCACTGCGCTCTGGTGACCGGAAGTGACTGGGCACAGCAAGCCGTCAGTCACTGCGCTCTGGCAGCCACGTTTCAAGAAGGAAATAAACAGCGTCAGGCAGAGGCGGCTCTGGTGGGCTCCGTCGGGGTGGTGCTGGGTCCCGGGCACACCATCCCCAGCAACTCAGAGCTGGGGTTCACTTTACGTTTCAACTTGACGAGGCCCTGGGGTGTCCAGGTATTGGGTCAAACATTATCTGGGAGTTTTCCATAAGAGTGACTCAATGATATAAACGTTTAAATCAATAAAGCAGATCGTGTGTGTGTGTGTGTGTGTGTGTGTGTGTGTGTATGTGTTGTGGGGGGGGGGTGTCATCCGAGGAGCTGAGGCCTGAATGGAACAGAGTCTTTCCCCCAAGTAAGAGGGAATTTTCCTGTCTGCCTGTGTGGAATCTGGACACCTGCTCTTCCTGGCCCTTGACCTGGGACAGCACCCTGTGGCCTGGCCCACGTGCCGTCTGCGCGCACGTAGCCGCCTGAGGCCGGGAGGCAGAAGCGAGGAGGGGCCAGGACGCGGAACCAGCCTGGTCCCCGAGGCCAGGCCCCGCAGATGAGTGACCGGGTGGCCTGGGGCCCAGAGCGCAAGGACAAACACAGGACACGGCGGCACTGGGAAGTCAGACAGACCTGTCGGCCTTCATTAGCCGCGAGCCAAGCGGCGCCCCGAGTTTCCGCTTTAAAAACTCAGCCTTGTTCGTGGCAAACAATGCTTTAATTGTGTTCAATACCAGGAGCAAGAGTCAATCACTTCCAATCACTGATTCTTTTGAGATTAAAACACAAGTGCAAAACGGTTTAAAATAAAATTCTTCCCAATGATTTAAAAATAATCCCAATCAAAAGACATTTCAAACACCATGTACAGACTCAGGACCTGAAGACATTTTGACCGTTGAGGTAGCACAAGGATGCCAAATTAGGTTTCTTTTGTTACATGGAGCTTTCAAGAAAACGACGAGGAATCGACCTTTTGCTCAAGGTGGGCTAAACGGTTTTCTGCAAACCCCCCGGAGGTGAGGACAGCCCCTTTAAGAAGAACACTTTTAAGTGCAAAGATAGCCCTACAGCGTGCGGGGACCCGTGGGAAGGCGCTTCCATAGCCGACGCGAGAACCGTGGAGGGAGGCCAGCAGCAGGACGGGAGGGGTGGGGCACCAGTGGGAAAGACTGGTTCAAGCGCATGGCAAGAACAAACCTCCGACTGGAAACCAAGGACAGAGGACATTCACGGGTCTCTCCCTTTTTCTGTGAAAGTGCTCCGTGTTTCTGCGGAGGGCCGTTGGCACGCCGGAAGGAGAAGCGAGCTGCGCCCTCCCGGAGCACTCAGCCGGCTCAGAGTGGCCGGCCTCCCGGTGGAGGGCCACTGCTCCGCCTAACGCGCTCACTGAACTGCTCAGCCCCACCCGGATCTGAGAGCCACAGCAATGACGCTGCGCAGTGACCTGGGACAGAGCAGCGGTGGGAGCACACGCACCTTCTCTCAGAGCGCGGTGTGACGCCGCCCGGAGGAGGGCGGGCACTGCGCCTCGACACTCACTCTCCACCCCCCAAACCAACGGACAAGGAGTCTCTTCCCAACACGCGCTCTGCCCGTGAGACATGGCCGCCAGTGCAGGCCTTGCGGGCAGGGGTGGGCCCGGGGCCCGGAGCGGAACCTGTTTGCCACCTCCGGCTCCCCGAGCTGCACCA